TGAAATGAAAGGAAAATTGTGGAAGTAGATATGTGACCCGATAAAATAACGACTGCTTCCACTCCTCACACGGGAAAACTCACGTTTAACTAACGTTTCCCGTAAAGCAAATAGTAATAAATGGGCTTCCAAAACTTTGAAATGGCAATAACATTTTATGTACAATATGTGAGATATGTGACTTCATGAAAATTCTAGCTGAGTTTTTAGAAGGCTGAAACTTGAGCTTCTCAGCTAATCGTCTTTCCGAAAAAATTGCGGGAAATCGAGTGGAAGTGAAACGAGACATGTGACTCCATGAAAATGTCCAACTAAATTAGATGCGTGACCCCGTTTTTACCTAGTCGCGTTTTTCAAATCGTCACTTCCTGGGCACCGGCAGTGAAAACAAGCAATTTGAAAAATTTGCCCAGGAAAACGAGATGCGTGACCTCAACCGACCGAAACGGTACAACTTTTCCTGCCAATCATCTGGGCAAAAGAAACCTACCAGGAAGAACCAGATATGTGACCCAATGGAAGTTTCAACCTGAAGAACTCAATAACTGTTTTCTAGACAAGGAAAATGTCGTTTTTGAAAGGCTCAGGCAGTAAAACCGCTCTTACAAAAGTAAGCGAGATATGTGACCAATTGAGTGTTTAAGCTGCCGATTCACATAAGCGAAAAATCCACATCTCAATTTGTTTAGTATTTTAAAAACCCGTTATGCGAAAGTGATGTGACCAAGATATGTGACCCAAAAAACTTTTGTTCAATTCTCACTGAATATTACAACCTAAATTAAAAACCTATTGTTTTATGGCCTAAAACAAGGCAAAAATAATTTTAAAAATATAACGAGATTCGTCACTGAATTACTGTTTAAGTTACCGTGACCTTGGACTGGGAAATCAAGTTTTCAAATGTTTGTCCATCAGAAGACGTGCGTTCAAACGCACAAAAAAATATTTGAAAAGTAAACTGGATATGTGACCCTGTGGGAAATTGGACTGACTTTGAGCGTGACCACCAAGTCAACGTCTATGCAGGGGATCTGCCAAGAAAACTGCGAGCAACAGAAATTCCAAACTT